CCGAGGCTTGCTGTGGGGAGAGGCAGGCCCTGGGGAGAGATCAGGATCTCGGTGAAGGGGGACAGAGCGCATCCGTGCCGGCAGTTTACACTGGGAGCTCGTGGCTAACCTGCCTTTGTATTCTCCCTGGGAGTGAACCGCTTGCTGGAGGTTGGCTTTGTTGGAGGGCGTGGCGGGTGGGCTGTGCAGGAAGCCCCACGCCCACCTGCCTAGCCCTCACCAGCCTTCCCTTGGCAGGGAAGCGGGCTCCTTTCATTGGGCACCTACAGTGTGCTACAGATGCTGTCTGCTCCACGGCTGCACTGTGGTCCAGCGTGGAGCCTCGCAAGGCATGGCTTCCTGTCCCCGGAGGACCTCGCCCTCTCTGATAACCATGGGTGTGGTGACTCAGCATGGAAGGCCAATCTCATGTGGGATGTTTGCATGGACTTACTAACTCAGGCTTTTAACCCTGGTCCTAAAAGGCATCTTCCTGTAAAGAAAGGAACAAACCCCCTATCCGATGTCATTGTCCCTTCCGCCAATGGCTGAAGGTATGCATTTTTTTTGCCCTGGTTCGAGGCCTTGTGTTTCTCATCCCAGACAGTGCCGCCAAGTTCAGCAGCCCCTGCCTTCTCTCTGCCCTCTAAGAGCAGCCTTGTGGCCACCCAGCCTGAGTGACATTTCTCCACGTCTGCAAGTCTGGCGTCACTGTGTGCTGTTGCTTTCTCAGTGGTGTGATGTGAAGGGTATGCTTAGCTGCTTGGTGAGCGTTTCGTAGAGGACACTGGGTTTGGGAGGCACAGGAAACTTACCCCGCCGTGTAAGGAGGAGACCGTCTCTAACACTGGTAAACTGGGGCTTTTCCAGCTGGGAACCTTGTCACTCCAGTCGGGTACTGCCAGCTGTTGTCATGGCGTCCGTTGGGCAGGGACCCGGCTTCACCAGCTGAGTGTGCTGGCGGTCGCCTTGGCTCTTAGCCCTCAGAACACAGTCTGCGGTGAGGTTTCCTGACTGTCAGTGAGAGGTTTCAAACAAGCGCTGGATTCTGTCTTTCCTGCGTGGAGCGTACTGTGGGTACACCCATGAAATCTGTACTTTAGAGCCAGGTAACGAGATAGGATCCTACCAGTCTAGAAACATGGAGAGGAGTAATTTTATCTGGGGAATAGTGAAGAGATTTTGAAAGTAGAAATTATCAGCACCATCCATGTTCTCATTTTCAGTATTTAACAAATAATGAGTTGTTTTTTTTAATTGTCAGATTTTCTACTACTCTTTTACAGGAAAAAAAAACACACAAAACGTCTATCAAGTTAAAAATTAGACGTTAATCAGCTTATTGACCAATTTACAAAATAGGACAAATCCAGAAGTAATTAAAATGCCATTTTTAATATCCTGAGAAATAGACTGGATTTCTCTCTCTCTTTCCAGAAGTAGGTAGTTTGTTTACAGGGCTTTGGCAGAGGCTGAAGAGCTGGGTGAAGGAGGAAGCTTGGGCAGGTCCTCAGGAGAGGCAGGAAGCTGGCTGGCTTCTAGAGCCCCGCTTTCCCAAAGCTGCTTCATCTTCTCTGATGAAGAGCCTGTCCTTAGACCCTGAGCACAGCCTCCTGGGGGCCAGGAGAGAATTACGAGTTCATTCTAAATGAAAACGATGAAGCTATAAAGGCATGCTCTGGGCTGGATGATGGATGGAAATCGTGACTACAGCAGGCTAATTTGAAGTCCCATAATTATTTGTGGGACAATGAAGTGTCCACTTAAGGAGATTTGAAAAGGCAATTGCAGAACTTCCTGACCTTACAGCAGTGTTGGCTGAGCTATTGCTGGTCCCTGAGGTGGACATAAACTCATCCTTCTTCATACAGATTAGCAGAAGAGGAAAGGAAACCATTGGAGCGAGGCAAAGGGAGGGGAGAGCCACTAAGCAAGTGCCTGAGAAAATGCAGGTGACTGTTGAGAGTAGGGAAAGTATTCTTTTAAAGCCATTCAAAACTTCCAGAGGCTGAGCGAGCAGTTCATCTTTCCCATGATGTTAAATTTCTCCATACCTCCTGCCTTAATGCCCAGGTGCTTCCTTAGAGGGTCTCATGGAATTAGTTACCTATAGCTCCTGGTGGGCAGATTTGTTATCAGAAAAAAAGTGATTTAAAAAAACAAACAAACAAACAAAACAGCCCAGTTCAGTCCTTCTGCAGAGTGAGGCAGAGGTGGCCGGTGGTTCTGTCTCTGTTGCTGCCACCTGCAGCTGTGCCTTCAGAGCAGACAGCAGGCTCACCAAGCTGCGCGTGGTCTCCCCTCCGGAGACTCGGACATAGCCGATTCTGGGTCGTCATACTAACTCTAAAGAGCCTTAGACACACCCTTCGCCCTGCCAGGCTGGGCAGCAGTTTGTGCAGAGGCTTGTCAACACCCTGACACCCGCAGTCAGAGGGAGAATGTTGTTGCTCACCAAGCTGCCGAGACCCCCTGGCTGCTCGTGTCGGCATGTTTCAGCTGATTGCTCGGTGACGCACAGTGACTTCATTTGGGTGCTGTGCTACCTGCCAAGTTTCAAAGCCCCAGGTGGTCTGTCCTGACAGGGAGGAGGAACCTTGTCCCCACAGGCCCAGCCTCAGAAACTTGGGCTGTCTCCTTCCTTAGTCTTGCTGATGGATTCTTAGACCAAAGTGTTGGTGTGTGTCCACATCCTGGTGGACAGTTTGCACACTGAGCACCCTTCTTTCATGAGTAGACACGAGAGCCTCTTGGAAAAAGAAAATTAACCACTGAATCTCAGTTATCCCTGTGTGCATATTACACCTACAAAATAGACAATCAGACCTGGCTAGGCTGCTTGTGGAGAAGCCCTGGGGCTGACTTCACAGGAGAGCCCCAGAACCCCATGGGCCGACCCTGTGGGCTGACCTCGTGGGAGAACCCCAGAACCCCGAGGGCCAACCTGAGCTGTCACCAACGTTACGTGTGCTCTGAATGACCAGGGCAGGCACATTTAGCCTTTCGTTATCTTTCTCCAAGGTAGTCCAGACGAATTCTTCCAAATCTGGCCACCTCTCCTTTAAAAGGTGTCAGGGATCCCTTCTCCAAGAACCGCTCTGTTGCTCAGGCTTCCGGCCTGCTTGCCCTGCCAAAAGCCAGCATTCCCCGGGGCAGGGGGCGGTGTCCTTCAGCCCGGGCCCTACTGTCACCTGTTGCGTGTGGCTGTCTGAATGTGTGCCCTTACTCTCCTCGAGTGGCAGCTTGCTCTCTGTCGCAGGAAGCTGCTGGTAACCATCTCCTCAAAGCCCACCCCACCTGATGCTAGCTTTCTAACCACTTTTTTTCCTTGGCTCCAACTCTCTCAGTGAGGTGAATGCTTTTTCTGTGCCACGTCCCTGCAGTCCCAAGGCCCAGCATGCTGTCACTTATAACCGGTCCACCTGATCTCAGGAGAGCTAACGGTAAGCCCCGTGCTTGGCTAGATGATTAGCAGACAAATCAAAGTGACTCTCAACCTAGCAACTCACAAATGCATGGAATGTTTTAATCTTGACACAAACTGCCAGAATTTTCTCTTTTCTAACTTCTATTTGTAGTGATAACATTTTTCTGTGATTTTTTTTTTAAGAGAATAGTGTAGTGTCTTGAAACAATTGCAATTCCAGTATGTCACTATTTCTATATATCAAGTTTCATTCTTTCCTGCTCATTGTATTCAGTTGTGCACTAGTGTCAATAAAATTGACATTTGTGAAGCGACTTCTGGCCTTTTTCTCCGGGATGTGTGGGGTCCTGTGGGTGATGGGCCTCCAGCTGACACCAGGACTTCAGTGTGAGAATGTTTTTATGTTCGGGCTTCCCAGAGCTTTCCCCCACCTTCTAATCCTGTCTTCCGGGGACTGCTGGACTGAGCAGCTGTCTGGCAGGGCAGCACTTCTTGTTTTCTGGGCTCGATGGCCCTCGCCCCTGTGCTGGCGATGAGCAGCCTGGTTGCAGAGGGGCTGGTGGTGATCTCGTGATTTGTACCTGCCGGGCTAGAGCCACTGTCCCTACTTTCGCCCCCTCTCGGCTGCTGTGTCTTGTACTTCCAAAACACAGATGCACACCTGAAGGTGGAGAAAACAGGTGTCAGGGCCATGAGGAATCTTCCAGGAAACCGTCTCCCTGTCCCAGGAGATCGTAGCGAAGTTCTGGGTGGCCAGGAGCAGCCAGGCAGGGTGACCTCGGGGCAGGCCCTGGCCTCCCGCCCTCACAGCCGAGTCTGCTCACCCAGCATTCACTCTGCATCTGTAGTAGGTGTGAACACAGCTTACAAGTGTGTTTTGAAACTCACGTAGTCTTGATGGGGGAAGCAGATACTCGCAAACCAAGCCGGCAGAGGCGTCCCCCGTCTGACGTCTCCTGGCCAGCAGTAGTAGGTAACCTGCGTTTTCCTGTGTTTGCTGTGGTGTCCTTTCCAGAAGACTGACTTACAGCCTGTCACTTCTGTCACGAGGGGCACTGTCATAATGGGATCCTCCGGCTTGCACTTTTGAACATTACACATTGCGTGTGATGCTAGTGTTTCTGTCCCATACAGTGGCTGACGTGGAGCGGCGCCAGCAGGTACACGGAGCTCGCTTCTGTTCTCTGTAGAGTGGGTTAGCTGCCTGGCCTGTTAGCGTGACAGTCCTGAGCACGCCACGCTTCCACGCCTGTTAGCCTAGTTCTAGTCCTCCTGTCCCTGCGAGTAGCAGCCGTGTCCTCCGGAGCAGTGTGTAGAAGCAGAGGCGGTAGAGATAGAATTAGGGTTGTGCTACGCTTGTTCCCTTACGTGTTAGCTGCACAGGGCTCTGTCTGGTTGTTCACTGGCGCCTAGCTGCCGGAGGGGCGATGTTGGGGTGTCCTCAGTGAGGCCCTGCGGTGTGGAGGGTGGGAGTTAGGGACCGGAGGGTCAGCCCTGCCCGTGTCTTGGAGACTGGCAGAAGGGAGAGTTGGGGAGAGCGCTCCCACCACAGAAGAATTACTTTTTTCTTTTAAAACTTCTCATCCCCAAACAGGCTCCCTGACTGGTAGCCCTCACCTTTCAGAGCTGTCCATCACCTCGCAGGGAGGAGCTGCCCCGGCCCACGTGACCCTGTCTCCCAACCTGAGCCCTGACACCAAGCAGGCCTCTCCCCTGATGAGCCCACTCCTCAACGAGCAAGCGTGCCCCCGAACGGACGACGAGGAAGACGGCCGGCGAAAGGTGAAGTGAAGGGCGCGCTGTGAAACATGCCCGCTTTAAGTGTGCTAGCTGTCACAGGGCACGTGCTAGGCGATTTCGTAGCCTTGTGTTCAACACCAGAACCCCTAATTCCCCATCTCCTCACAGCCAGCCAGGCTGCTCACTGTTTGTCCCCTTCTGACAGTCACCTGCCGTCACGCCCTTAAGGTCCATCCACGTCACCCGTGCAGTGCGTGGACCACGCCTCTGTCGAGTGGCTGTAGGCCATGTCCCCGGGCAGTGGACCACACGCCTGCTGAGGCTCCCTTTAGCTCGTTGGCACTGGAGCCGCCATCCCAAACCAGCTCTGCCAGCAGTGGCCCGGGTTTCAGGATGCTGGCTGCTGGTCCTGTCTCCTTGAAGAGTCTGTAATCTTGCTCAATAAGTTAGAGTCCTCAGCTGGTGGTGATACTTCTATCAGAAGCCATTCTTCTAGCCTCCTCCTCTCCTCCCCTCCCCTTCCCTTCCTCTTGCCTCCCCTCTCTCTTTTTTCTCTTACTAACACACACACACACACTCAAACACTCACTCACTCACACACACACACACACACACACAGAGGAAATAAGCTTATTTAGACTTGATGCCAGCTAACGGAGGGGTGTAGGGTTAGCTCCCCAGCAGTGAACCCGTCCCGTGACCGGGCATTCTCAGCGTCTCCGCTCAGACGTGATGTGATTGCCATGTGTTGTTCTGTGGATTTTGCAGAGATTCCCAGCCGACAAGGCATACTTCATTGCTAAGGAGGTCTCCACCACTGAGCGGACATACCTGAAGGATCTTGAAGTCATTGCCTCGGTGCGTGCAGCTTCTCCGCGACTCACACCTCGGCTGCTGCTGGCAAGGCAGGGCTGCTACCTGTCAGGCTCCCTGACTTTAGCTGCAGGCATTATAGACCCTGATCCCTGGTTATGGCAATCGGTGTCAATGGGATATTTAATTCTCTGTTTTTTTTTTAAAAAAAAAAAATGTGATTGTGTTTTCTAAGTGCAAAGAAAAGACATTCATAGAGCAGAGAAAGTGAAAATTGCACGGTTTGCTGCCTGGGCACCAGGACTTTCTGGCTTGCTCACCATCAAATGCACCTGCTTCTGTTTGCTCCAGGGAGGCCTCGGGTTATTTTGATAGTGAGTTGTTCATGGTGGGAAAAGGCCACTGACCGCCTTTGAGGGCTGTCTTCAGGCCTGTCCAGTCTGAAAATCGAAGCAGGGGGCCCCAGGAGCCTTGACCAGGGACCCCCACTCTGTTGGTATCAGGTTTGCGTTTGGTGCCCACAAACACCGGGACACAGTTCCTCCTCATGTCAGTAACACGTGGCTGAGCACAGGCTGTGCCATCTTGGTGCTCAGCACCTTATGGAGGAGAAGAAAGGAGAGCTCCTGAAGGGTAGACCAGGACCCTGAACTCACAGTCCCCAGTTGAGGGGCCTGAGTGGGGCCTGGCTTCAAGTAGTTGCTCATTGAAGACGTTAGCCCAGGCTTGAGCAAGCCACAGGAACCATTTGAGAGAGCAATCGTAAGGCGCTAGAGTGAGGAGGGGAGCGGCAAGGCCTGCCGCCATGCAGCCTGAAGTGCCAGAATCCCACGGAAAGTCGGTGGCCGCCCGCTACGCACGTGGTCGCCCTCACACTTCTAAGCCGTCTCCCTTTATTCCAGTGGTTTCAGAGCACGGTCAGCAAAGAGGACTCCATGCCCGACGCTTTGAAAAGCCTCATTTTTCCAAATTTTGAACCGTTGCACAAGTTTCACACCAATTTTCTCAAGGAAATTGAGCAACGCCTGGCCCTGTGGTGAGTACGGTCCAGTCTGAATCTGCTTCCCGTGTGTCGCGCCCTGCTTCACCCTCCCTGCGCTGTCTCGCTCTGTCCTGCGTACGTAGAGATCCCAGCTACTGTGCGAACAGGAAGGATTTATGAGGTGACATTTCACTGTTGCTTTAGCTACATAGAAAGCTGCACACGCAGTTGATGTGGACACAGACGTAGAAACCGCTGTGCTGCATTTCACAGGGCGCGCACAGTTTTCTCAGGATGTGAATATTTTGTTTTACCACCACTGTGTGCACATGCTATCTGTGGGTTAGTACACTGGGTGCCGTGCAGTTCACAGACAACTTTCTGGAGTTGGGTCTCTGCTTTTGCCTTCACGTGGGTTCTGAGGAAGCACTAGGTCATCAGGCCTCCATGGAAAGGCCTTTACCCCGCCTACTAGCCCAGGATATAATCTTTTCAGTCTTTGCTGTATTTGTTTGCGTGTGCGCTCAGGCACGTGTCTCCGTGAGTGTTTGTGCATGCTTGTGTCAGGCGCGCTCACCTGTGCACAGGTGGGGCCAGAGGCCGCCGTGGGCCCTGGAGCTGGGAGTTTCCGGCACAGGGAAAACACCTGACGTTACCTGGCTGCCAGCGAGTGCTCTTGGCTGCCGACCCGACTCCAGCGCCGTGAGGATGTATTTTCGTGTCAGGAAATATGTGAGCAAAGACCCCGCACAGAATTAACACATTAGAGGGACCTCGATATCCACCCACAGAACCATGGTTAAAGCAATCCTTCAGGCTCCCAATAAACACCAAATAAAATGTTAACTCAGGAGGTGAAGATGGAAAATTTTATTTACTCTGGAATGGAAAATGTGATGTAAGTTTACATAAAATAGGATCTTTTATAGCAAGAATATTACAGGCTTCTTAGGGTAAGTTATGTGTGCTCACACCTGGGGGCCGATCGTCCCCCTGATGGCTTTTGGAAGCACAGGGGGGAGTAACAGGGTCGCCCCTGTGCTCCCGCACACGCGTGTGCTGTGCCACCGGGCTTCAGACTGGAAGTGCCAGGAGGGTGTCAGTGAGTGGCTGAGGAGCCTGCTCGAGGACCCTTTCCTCCGGCTCTGCACTGCGGCCTTCCCTGCTGCTCCTAAGACTGGCGTGCAGGGCGCTCTGGGCCTGAGTGGCGCCTGGCTCTGCAGCATTGCGGCGCTGGTTGGTATAGACTGGTCTTCCCTGAGAGAAGGAAGGGGCTGGCTTTACTCTCGGGCCCCTGGGGCAGAGCACAGCCAGAGTGGGCACATTGCTGAGGGTGGAAAACTCGGCTGTGCTTCAGCAGGTGCTGGGATGACGCAGTCAGCACTGAGACAGGCTCTACCTCACCTCGGTGCTGCTTCCTGTGAGGGCAGCTGCGGAGCTAGAGGTGGTGGTGGCTCAGTCAGATGGAGGCAGGAGGATTGCTGCCAGCTGAGGCTCACAAAGTGACTGGAAGACTAAGGGGACCCGGGCCTCAAACACAAATTAAACTGCTTTTCTGGACCCGTGGGCCACTCCTGTGAGCAGGCTGACAGCTGAGCCACAGGAGTGACTGGAGCCCAGCAGAGCGAGCGCCACCGCTCTGGCTCACTCCAGCAGAGGGCGCCTGTCCTTTCCAGAAGTAGTTGTGAGTGTACCTTAGAACGGGCGCCATTGCCGCCTGCCTCCCACCCAGGGCAACACCGGGAGGCTGCCTGAACCTCGAGGCTCTGAGCTCCGGAAATCCTTTCTCCGGTGCTGTGTGGGAGCACCAAGAAGCTAAGGAGTGTGCTCAGTGACCGTGTGTGCCAGGCTTTGCTCACAGATGGTACTGAGCCAAGGGTCTGCAGAGGAGGGTGCTGGGGGCGCTCAGAACCCTGCCAGCCTGGCTTTGGAGGACTTGTGAGATAATGTGCCTACATAAACCAGGCGGCCATAGGCTGAACACAGTCAGGAAGAGTGGGTCAGGTCAGTCAGATTCATTGAGGGGGGAACTTGCACACTTACAGACAGGCAGGCAGGCATAATGCTGTTTAGGGAGAGGTTTCTGCATTGTAACATGGGGAGCACTGTTGAAACAGTTAAGAAACAAAGTCAGAACCAGGAGAGTGGCTGTGCTGTGAAGCACCTTGCTAGGGAGAAGATGCCCTGAGTCCAGGCCCCAGTGATGCTTGACAGTCGCAGCAGAACCTTGGACCTTCAGCTGTCCGAGGCTGAGTGGAGCTCTGTCATCTGACAACCGTGGGGCGATCTGGGGACTGTTCCCTGCGTGAGGAGATGGAGTGTTTGTAATGGGCTCCGTGGGCTGGGCCCACACGGGAGAAAAGCTGGCGTTTCCAGTGTTAGCTTAGGTGTGTATGTGTGATTGTAGGTGTGGGTTCCTGTGTGGAGGTCTCAGGCACTGGTTCTTGCCTCCATCTTGTGGTGGTGGGTTCTCATTTCTGCATACTCCAGGCTGAGTGGCTTTCACGCTTCTGGGTGATGCTGTGCCTTCTCCTCCCACATTCCTGTAGGTGTACCAGAATTGACAGGTGTAAGCAGTCATGTCTAGCTTTTTGTTTCTTTTCTTTCTTTCTTTCTTTTTTTTTTTTTTTTTGAACATGGGCTCCAGAAATTAAACTTGGATCTTCAGGAAGTTTGGCGGCTACTGTCCTTTCCCACCTTGCCATCTCCTGGGCCCAAGCTAAGCTTTCTAAAAAGTTAGCAGAATTTGCAATACCCTGAGATTTGCTGGTAGTTTCCTTTGCAGGCCTCAGCCTTTCCCCTTTGGTTGAGCTGTGTGTGTGTGTGTGTGTGTGTGTGTGTCCATGTGGGTCAAAATGAAGAAATTAGTGGTGTCATGTCGCTGGTGTCAAACTCTAGATTTTTTTCTGGCTATTTTCTGGTTTGGGGGTTTGGTTTTGATTTGGTTTGGTTTTGTTTTTTCCTGGAACTTGCTCTGTAGATCTGGCTCGACAGGCCTGAAACTCACAGAGATCCCCCTGCCTCTGCCTCCAGAGAGCTGGGATTAAATCATGTGCCGCCAGGCCCGGCCCATTGCTGCTTTCAGTTACTCCTGTTAAAAGAGAGAGAGTGAAAGTTTTCAGCATCAGCAGTTCCCCAGACTCCTTGGTACATGCATGGCAAGCCTACAGTTCCCCCTGGCAGGCCACAGGAGGGCACAGCAGGTGCTCTGTGAGCAGGGGCAGCCCCGGGCGGGCCTCAGGCAGGAAGATGTCAGGAATGCCTGAGCCACCCTCAATTTGAGAAGCCTCTTGTCCCTCTCAGAATGCCCCAATGTGCCATGCAAGCACAGCTGACAGGAGGGAGGCCCAGGGCCTGCTTCAGGCTGCCAAAGCCAGCCTACACCAGTCAGGTGGCTTCTGAAAAGCCGATGAAATGCTTTTTCCTTCTTTTGAAAGCACAGGACTGTGTCCTCAGCTGTTCACGCTCTCAGAGGAAGCCACTTAGATCAGCCTTGGCAGGGGGTGGGGGGAACCCCGGAGGAGCCCCCGACTTTGACATTTCATGTCTGAGATGACTTGTGGCAGGTCACCCCACGGCAGGTCCGCCCACCCTTGGGTTGATGGGACCGGGTTTGGTCCCACTACACCGGGAAAGCCTCAAAGTAGGGACAAGCCCGTCAGCCGCGCTCCAGGCCTGGATGGGTCATGCTGAAAGTCCGCCCTGGTTTCATGTGAGGTCCTGCTCGGGCCTAGAGCAGAACTCTGCTCCTGGAGGCCGGTCAGATGAGGTCGGGTGCGGTGGCTCTGGGGTGTAGCTTTACTCCTCGTTCTTGGAGGCCCCTCTCTCCTTTGTCCGCCTGGTTGGCGGGGGTGGGGCCTTAGTTGTTGGAGCAAGCAGACCGCCCACACCTCACTAGGTGTCCCTGGAGAGAACGTGGCCAGCGTCACAGCCGCTGCACTGTCCCGAGTGACAGCCCTCACATTCAGCTTGATTTCTTTCTCTGGCTTGAGGTTGGATGTGAGGCCTGCCTGGGGCAGCTGTAGGAAGGAGGCCCTCCGGCTTGTCCTGGGCTGGCAAGGCTGCATTGCTGTGCCCTCTGCAGGCCTTTGGATGCGTGCGCGCGCGCACACACACACACACACACCCGCACCCACACTCTCGAGTGCACAGATGCTCCCAAGTCCAGAGCAGCCACTTGCTCCTCTCTCCCTCTCCCAGGAGAAGCAAATGTCCCCTCTGGTCCATGTTGAGTGGTTTAGCTGCGTCTGAACACACACCCATGTCCAGCCCTGTGCACACCTGGACACGTGTGCTCACATGCACCGTCCCTCTCTGCCTGATCCCGGGCAGGAGCCATCCTGACGGGGCATCTGGGAGCCGTTGTCTGACTCCTGAAGAGTGTGTTGTTTTGTCAGTACCCAAGGAAGAGCAAGGTAACTGAGGACCAAAAGGACAAACAAAGGAAGACACTCGTGGGTGTGGGTCTCAACGCCCCCGGCTTGTGCGTCACCTAAATTGTGCATCAGGCTCAGCAGCTCATCGTCTCTGGCCATGTGTCGTGTGTGGAAGCGGCTGCTGTTGTGGGAAACAGAGAACCCTCCCTTCACCACAGCTGGTCCTGTGAACACCACGACTTTAGTTAACTCTTTAAAAACTACTTTAAGAAACGTGGGTGTGCATATGCACACGTCACACACATGGATAAGGTCAGGGGCCAAGGCAGGAGTGGGCCCCAGGACACCCGGCCGCTGGTGACCATCTTGGCACCATCAGTCTGAGGAGCCTGTACACACAGTCTTGTGCCGGCTCGCTCTCGGCAGCACCTACTGAAACGAAAGCCATCGCCAACTCCAAATTTTTCCAGTCAGTCTCTAAACTGAGCTGACAGCTCTGGGCGACGCTGGCTGTTGTTAATAAAGTTTTATCAGCGCACGGTGCTGTGCTCATTCTTTCTTCACTGTGATGCCCGTGAGCAGTTCGGAGTTGAACCACTGCAACAGAACCGGAGTGCAACTGCCACTCGGTCTAAAGTGCTAACCCTCTGGGCTTTCACATCAAACCACAGATCTGAGGGCCGAAGATCTGGTACAGTGACTGAGAGCGCTGGCTGCCCCTACGGAGGGCCCGGGTTCAGTTCCCGGCACCCACTTAGCATCGCACACGCGTGTACACACACACACTCACCCTGAAGCATGGTACGAGGTGGCCGTGGTTGCTGTCTGTCCCCAGAACCCTGTCTGACGGTGACCCCCGTACCCGCCCTGACAGACACCTGACATACATGGCTAGTGTGACTGAGGAACTTCCTTCACTTTAATCCGAAGTAATCTTGAGATGGCCATGCGGGGCCTAGTGGAGAGCGTGGTTGTCAAGGCTCCGGAGGGCAGGACGCGGTGGAGGTGCCCACTGCAGTGGCCTGGCCGCACAAGTCCTCCCGGTGTGGGAGGCCATCGCCGGAAGAAAACTGCAGGACGGTTCTCAGCCCCCCTCGCTGGGGCAGGGCAGGCTCTCTGCAGAAGCGTCCTCCCCGGTTCTGAACTCAAATGCTTACAGAAGAGGCTTCCAGCACAGTGCTGTAAGCACAGAAAAGCACGTGGGAGGCAGTGCGGTGTGTCTGTCTGCAAACTAGTCGAGAACTGGAGGCGAGTCAAGCTGTGTTTGTGGCCGAAGGTGAGGGGACGCATTGGAAATGATCCGTTTTGGTTTGGTTTGAATTTGTCTGTCCTGAAACTCACTCTGCGGCCCAGGCTAGCCTTAAACTCAAAAAGCACTCCCGACTCCGCCTCCAGAGTGCTAGGGTTAAAGGCATGCCCCTCCTGGCTGGGCTCACTAGCTTTCTGGAATAGCTTCCCTCCTTACCCCACAGACGACCTGTCTCTACCCAGCTTGTTCACCTGGAACTCACTCGTTACGTAAGTGGGCAGTCACGCCTGGTGTGCAGGAGGGGTCACAGAAACTCGGGGAATGGCAAAGCGGAGCTGAGGCCTTGGCTCTAGGCCTCTTTTCTGGTGGCGGAGAGCATCCAGACGCTGGCTTCTGGCCCAGACCGCACGCTCGGCCCTTGTTCTTTAATAAGGAGGCAGCCTTCCTTTTGTCGGAAGGAGGAGGCGAGGGCTGGAGTCAGTGTGCTTAGATTGGTGCTGGGCTGCGCCCCCCGGAGGGAGTCCCTCCCTGCTCTCGATGGCAAGGGGGCTCCGAGCTGCTCCTCACAGCTAGCCCTGTGTTCCACAACAGCTGCAGAACTGAGGGTGTCCTTACTGACAGGTGGTCTGCGTGCTGCAAAGGGATTTGTACTGAAGCTCAGTTGGGATTTGAGCAGGAGCTCCACGGGCCGCCTATCTGACGGGCTTTGGCGGTCGGCTTCTGCAGTGTCTGCCTGTCCCCGAGGGCTGCTGAGTGAGCGCACAGCCCAGGGAGCCCTGCTGTGAGTTCGGCTCACCTACTGGTGAGTGCTTGCTCTCCAGTCATTTTCTTCTTCCTCCTTCCTGGTCACATGACTGACCAGCTCACAGGGTGAAGGAAGTGTTCCTTCAGGACCAGAAAGCCCCCAGAATGCACGGTGTTTGTCCCCATGTGCATGCATGCCAGGTCCTTTGCCAAGGTCATACGCACTTGCTCCCAGAAGTAAAGTAATTGCATTGTGAGGGGCGGTTTTCCTAAGTGAAGTTGACAAGCGGATTTCCTGCTCTGTCCCTGTGTGGTAATTATCTGGACAACAGACCTGTGGTGCTGTCTTCCCAACAAGGACCTTTTCTTGTGGGTTCACACCTGGAGGATGTCCGGACACAGTGTAATTATGTTTTCATGTTCTCAGTGATGAGCCGTGTAGCTGTTGGAGTGAGGTAAACACCGTAGATTTGTAGACTTGGAGGCAGGGTCGTGGCCACACATGAGTCCTGCCCGGGCCAGCGTGTCTCCTGTTTCATGGGCTTTGTCCTGTGTTCGGACCCTCAGCTTGGGGCTTTCATCTGGGAGGGCTGGATAGGCAGGTCTGCTGTGCTGGTCGGAGACGCTAGGTGCCTGATGTCACCCAGAGCTGATGATGTGAAAATTTGGGGTTATCAGTGGCTCCATGCTGAATGGGGACTGGTCACTACTTCCCACCCGGTGTTCTCTGCACAGTAAGAATCCAGATGTGCGCACATGTGTGTCTTATCCGCAGGCATGGGTAATGTGCGGGCACATGCCTGTAATCCTAAACTTGGGAAGCTGAGGCAGAAGGATCCCCACAAGTCTGAGACCACATCTCACACAGCTAGGGAAATAACTACATTGTATTCTTTGGACTAAGTAGGCCTTTTTGATATATGTGCCATCAGGAGGCATGCCTGTACGCTCTGGGCCATCTGTGTAGATTCCAGGTTTTCTCTGGCTGCCGTGGGCCTTGCCTCTGGTTGGCTGGGTGTACGCCATTTTGTCAAACGTCTGAGCATGTGGCTTAGCAAGGGTCTTCCTTTGCTGGACTGTCTTCTGGGGTCCGGTACAGGGGAGTAGGGGAGGAAGGAGCTTTCCTGCTCCGGTGACAGCCTTATGTTGAAGGAGGCCCTGGGGAGGGGGGAGCAGCTATGCCTCTAAATGGCAAAGACTTTCTCTGTGTCTGCTGAGCCCCGAGTTAGGCTGCCTGCTGAGGCTCAGAGCTGGGCTGCCCCGGCCCTGCAGCGAGTGTGCCACCCTCTGCCACCTGCTGCCAGCCATCCTGCCCTCTCTGCCCCCGCCCCCAGGAACAGCTCTCCTGACCGACGTCTGTCACCCGGGTCCTTCCCAAGGGTGTTACGGGGGCTCACTGCTTTTGCGGACGGGCTCTCGAGAACAGGAGCCGATTTGGGGTGGCCTCTCATTTGATGCTTGTGTCTCCTTGTGCCAAGGACAGAATCAGTTTACAAGCCAGTTGTTGTAAGTGGCCTCTGTGGTGACACCATGGTCTATGGTCTCACGACCCACGCATGGAAGGAAAACAATTCTGTCAGACCCAGCCAAGGCTCTCCAATACCAAGGGGAGCGCCTTTGTCATTTTGGGTTCTGAGACAGGTTCTTGCTGTCTGCAGCTCAGGCTGGCCTCGAGTTGATGACTCTCCTGCCCCCACCCCACCCCACCCCGTGTGCTGGGATCTTTGCTGAACCAGGGCAAAGAAGTCTTCAGCACTTAATGTCTTTGCTCCCAAGGAAAGTAGGCGGGGACCGTCGGCGAGAAGTGCAGCTTTGGGATGAGAAAGGAAGGCATCAGAGCGGGCATCACTAACGCTGGCGTTTCTGCTTCTCCTGCCCCAGGGAAGGCCGCTCAAATGCCCACGTCAGAGGAGACCACCAAAGAATCGGGGACGTCATGCTGAGGAACATTCAGGGCATGAAGGTGCGTGGGCTGGGGGGGGAGTTTGGGGTGCAGTACCCCTTCTGCAGCGTGCACAGTCTGGCCTGTGGCCCTCTGCAGAGTGTCGGGACATGTTCAGGCCGTCCACCTTCCTAAGGACCGTTCCTGGAGAAAGCAGGAGCTCTCTGGATCCAAAGCTCTGCGCTGTAGACGAGCAGCAGGTGTTTAAACGGGTTACTCACGACCCAAAGACCGCGTAGGCAAGCTGTGACCATCTCCTCACTCAGTCGTTTTGGCTTCCTTGGGGCATGACAAAATCCGAGATGCCAATCATCCAGGCATTCCAAGAGGTTCCTTGTCTGTAAACCCGTCAGAGGCAAACCTATTTTTAAACGGCCATATCCAAAGTGAAAGAGCACCCAAGAGAGCTAAGGAGTCCGACCCCAGTCCTCTCCTACGAAACCTTGAGCTTCCGGCTTGCTCACAGGGACACAGTCAGCCTGTGCTGCAGACAGCTTTGGTTCACACAGGTGATCTGCTGGACGCATTCGTGCTCGCATTTAAGAAGGGTTAAATCTCAGTGGGGCATGGCCATAACCTCAGTTCCTGAAAACTGCCCTGGACGAGGAAAGATTCTAAGTCGGCAGCCAGGCATGCGCCACTGATGGTGCGCCCAGCCGCTGGTCCAAGCAGCCGTTCCTCCGGGAGCTGAGAGCCTGCCTCGTGCTGCAAGTGTGGCTTTACTCCCACTGTCCATCTGGTTGGGTCACAGGTCAAGATGAGGAGTACCCAGGACAGCTCTTACCAGCTTCCTGCTGAGTGTGTGCTGTGTTTTTTAAGAAATGGTTTACGGTTTTGGGGTTTTTGTTTTAGCCTTTTTGTTTGTTTTTCAAGACAGGTTTTCTCTGTATAGCCTTGGGTGTCCTGGGCTCACTCTGTAGACCAGGCTGGCCCTAAACTCACAGAGATCCACCTGCCTTTGCCTCCCCGAGTTCTGGGATTCCAGGCATTTATTTAAGCTGGGTGCAATGGCACACACCTGTAAACAACCAAAAATTGTTATTTATTTATTTTCTGTATGAGCGCTCTATCTGCATGTACACCTGCTTGCCAGAAGAGGGCACCAGATCGCAGGGTAGGTGGTCGTGAGCCACCATGTGGGTGCTGGGAATTGAACTCAGGACCTCTGGAAGAGCAGCCGGTGCTCTGTACTGGTGTGCATGCTTGTGTGTGTTGCTGGGAAGTTGAACCTAAGGCCTCATGCTTGTGACACAGGCAGTCCACTCTCAGCCAGGCCTCTGACCTCCTCAGCTTCCTAACAAAGATGAGGATGGAGCTTTCTGACTCCTTACCGCATCCACGCACAGCGGCTGAGGGTGGGGCGGAGTCAGAGAGAAGCTGTGGAAGACTGGACCTCGGTACAAGTCAAGAACACGAGAACAGCCTGGCAGTTGACAGCCGAGGCCTAGCACCTTGGAGGTGCGGGGGTCCAGCAGCAGCCATCTCTGAGTCTTTTTAAATATGTTTTCGGTGCAGTTTTCTTCAGAGTTTCTAGTGTTCACACACTCTCCAATACTCACGGCCTCCACTATTCTAACGTTTTTTGTTGCTGTAACTAATACAGCTAAGGTTGATGAGCCAGGTTTTCTCTGTCACCGTCTGAGCCTCTGGTCTGTCCTGGGCCACACTCCGGGTACTGGATACTCTGAGTGTGGAGACACGTGCCCACCATGAGTGTCCTACAGAATCACTTTCCCTGGAGCTGGGCCTGTGCACCGTCCTGTGATCCCGGCTGCTCCTAGGCTGAGGCAGGAAGACCTCAAGCTCAAGACCAGCCAGGCTGTGACAGCACGACCCTGCCTGAGGCCCCTGTGCCTCACACCTCCTCATCCCTGCACAGATCTCTCTCCATCTTCACAGTTTTATCTTCCCAGAATTCCCTGTGGTTGGAGGTACTGCTCTGGCCTGTTCTGGCTGCCCTCTTGGCTTCCCTTCCTTCCAGTTGATGTTAATATTATGGACTTACTCCTAAGATGCCTCTGCTCATGCCACAGGCTTTTTCTTAGCCATTCTGGTTTTCTGAAAAACAAACCCAGTTCCCTTTGATTGGGATCCTAGCTGTAGGATCTGCCCCTCCCCTACACCCAGCGACATCTCCTTGGATTGCTGTCCCCAGCCACCGGTGGCCTTCTCATGCCTGACTGCCAAGTACCCCAACACACACATCCACTGGGCACTTGGAGCTGCTGTTCTGCTTCCTCCATTACCCCCGTGGGAGACTAAAAATACACCTTCTGTGCCGAACCCTTCTCCTTGCTCTGCAGGCTGGCAGGCTGTGCCGGGCCGGCCTCCTCAGCTTTTCTCCTGTTCTGCAGGCTGTGCCCTGCTGCCTCCTCGGCTTTTCTCCTGTTCTGCAGGCTGGCAGGCTATGCCCGGCTGCCTCCTTGGCTTCCGTAGTTTCAGCACTGAGCTAAACAGGGTACAGCACAGGCGCTGTGCAAGCAAAATAAAAATAGATTGGGGAGGGCAGGGGCAGCCGTTTCAAGGGGTGAGTTGAGTTGCAGTTTTTGTTTGTTCGATTTGTTTTATTGTGGCTTTTATTGTTGGCATTAAAGCATTTTTTATGAAGTGTGGAGGGAAGCAGAGGAGGATTCCAGAACTGCAGCAGCCTGGGTTGGCAGTGACGCCTGCTGTGTCCTTCCTGCCCTGCCCCTAGATGACACCTGTCACGTGTCCCTCACTGTGTACCCCTCTTAGTGGTAACAGGCCAGGGTCCCCCCACACAAGGCCAGGGGAGTGCAGCCCGTGCTCTTTCTCCAGCTCATGGTCTCTAGCTACGCCAGGAATTCACTCCCCAAATCGGAGCAGATCTCCCGAAGCGCCCGAGTGTGCACACAAAGACAGTGGTGCTGGCCTCTCTTCCCACGGGCGCTTGGGCCCCTGACTAAGCATCCGCTTTCCAATGCATGGATGTCTCAAACTGGTCCCCGCCTTCACGCTGACGCCTCGCTGAAATGTTGAGACATAAAGCATGGACAGTGGAGAGCAGTGCCTCGGTTTCCCCGACCCCGGGGGCGCGCTCACCGGCTCTGCTTCCTCCCCAGCACCTGGCGGCTCACCTGTGGAAGCACAGCGAGGCCCTGGAGGCCCTGGAGACAGCCATTCGGGGCTCGCGGCGGCTGGAGCACTTCTGCCGGGACTTCGAGCTGCAGAAGGTGTGTTACCTGCCTCTCAACAGCTTCCTCCTGCGCCCGCTGCAGCGGCTCATGCACTACAAGCAGGTCCTGGAGCGGCTCTGCAAGCACCACGCGCCCAGCCACGCCGACTTCAGGGACTGCCGGGGTAAGGGTGCGCCCACCGGGCTCTCTGCACGACTGCCTCGTGCCGCTCGCGTCTGGCTCTTCCTTGGGAAGCTGCTGCTGTTTCTGCCCCCAGTTGCACATGCCCGCTGCACACTCGGGACAAAGAGCTCGCCCTGCCAGCCCCGAATGGCTGTCTCCC